GGTTGTAAGAGAAGTAAATGCGAGGGAGGGTTTGGCAAGAGGCGTTGGAGGTAAATGATAAGAATCACACACAGGGTGGGAGTTGTCCAGACCTGCTCTTGCTGATGACACTGTGCTCTTGGGAGATTCTGAAAGAGAAGCTGATTGCAGAGATTGGTGGATGAATTTGGTTAGGGTGTGCAAAGAAGAAAATTAAAGGTTGAATACAGGAAAGTGTAAGGTTATGAGGATAACCAAAAGATTAGGTGATGAAAGAGTTGAATATCAGATTGATTGGAGGGAGGAGAGTATGGAGGACAAATCGGTGAACGTATTCAGAGAATTTGGGACGTGGGTCGTCGTCAGCGGTGGGTTCTATTGAAAGATGAGGTGAATCCATAGGAATTGATGAGGGAACAAAGAGGTGTGAGTGGTGCACTATGGTGTCTGTGGAGACAGAGAACTTTGTCCTTGGGGCAAAGAGGGGAATGTATGATAGTATAGTTTTACCCAACAATCTTATATGGGTGTTGAAGCCATGGGTGGATGAATGTTGCAGCGAGGAGGAGGTGGGAGGCAGTCGGAGATGTCATGTCTGAGGGCAATGTGTGGTTGTGAATATAATGCAGAGAATTCGTTAGTTTTGGAAGTTAGGAGGACGGTGCGGGATTACCAAAACTGTTGTCCAGAGGGCTGGGAAGGGTTGGTGAAGTGGTTGGACATGTAGAGAGAATGGAGCGAAAACAGAATAACTTCAGAGTGTACCAGTCTGTAGTGGAATGGAAGGCGGGGTAGGCGGGGGGTCGGCTAGGAAGGGTTGGAGGAGGGGGTAAAGGAGTTTTGTGTGCGGGAGGGGCTTGGACTTCCAGCAGGCATGCAGGTGAGCGTGTTTGTTAGGAGTGAATGGAGACAAATGGTTTTTTATACTTGACGTTGCTGTTGGAGTGTGAAGCAAAAGGATCATTTATGAAGGGATTCAAGGCCGAAAACCGGGCAGGGCCGGACTTGAGTCCTGGAGATGGGAGTACTGTGCCTGCACTCTGAAGGAGGGGGGATTAATGTTGCAGTTTAAAAACTTAGTGTAAAGCACCCTTCTGGCCAGACAGTGATGAGTGAATTGATGGTGAAAGTTTTTCTTTTTCGGGCCCCCCCAAAAAAAAAAACCCTGCCTTGGTGGGAAACGGCCAGTGTGACAATAAAAAAAAAAAAAAAAAAAATAGTATGGCACCAACCCTGAAAGGGTTAAATTCATTCATTCCCTAGGCTTTCTCAGCAAAATATGTTGACAGAACCTCACCCACTTTCATTTGCTTTTCCTTTTACACTCCCTCACACTCTTAAACCCCCCTCTTTTTACTCTCTATATATTTCACCCTCCATCTTTATAAATTATTTTGTTAAAACCTCTCATATTCTAACTTTTTTCTCTTACAACTCCTTATCTCATCATTCCACCAGTTGCTCCTCTTCTCTCCTGCACCATTCTCCTATATCCACCAACTTCTGCACACTCTAGCATTATTAAATCTACTGCATAAGTTTTCAACATCCTCCTCATTAACTATACTCTCACTAGCCCTTCTTTCTCTCAACAGCTTCTTATATCTTACCCTTACTACCTCTTCCTTTAATTTATACCTTTTACTTCTCTTACTGATACCATTCTCCTTGTACTTTACATAATACTCTCACTGTAGCTACATACAAATCATAATGATCTGATATATCTGTTGCTCCTCTGAAAACATGCACATCCAGAGGTCTACCCAGTAACCTTTTATCCACCAATACATAATCCAACAAACTGCTGTCATTATGCCCTGTTATCTTGGTTGCATGTACTAATTTATTCTCTTTCTTAACCCCTTTGACTGTATACGCCGTTTATATAACGTCTTACGGTTGCCATGTTTTTGATGTATTTATACGCATAAAATTTCTAGTGGCTTCAACTCGAACGGGATAAGTGCCTGGTAGTGCCTACATGAGAGAGAATGGGTCTCAGTGGTGGGTGTGCACCCTGTGAAAAAAATCTGGGACTCAGCGGTGCATTGTGAGAACGCCATCTTGGTAGTTCCATTTTCACCTTGACTCGCGGTACGAAGTACCTCACTTTACCTCGGCGGATCTGGCAGGTCTTTATGTTCCCAAGTGATAGCCTCTAACAGCGATGAAAGTGTCAGTGACAGTGAATTCAGGTTTTCAAGTGAGGTGTGACCGAAAAATAGATGCCAGGGTGACGTAATTAGTGATGAAAACCCCAGATGACCCACATCCACTCCACCCTTCTGGTGATGGGCCCCCGACTTGGTCATGTTCACGTTCCACGTTCACGTTCACCTGCCCTCCAACTATACCAGGACGTAAGAGGAAACTATTTGGTCGTGTACCAAGTCCAGAATGTCTTGTCAGTGAATGTGATTAGTGATTGTGAATTTCAAGGTTATTGAAAGCAGTTCTAGTTGTGACAGTCGAGGGATGAATATTCCCTAGTGAAGCGCAGTATGTAAGAACTTATAGCATGCGGTCTGGTAGTGTTCATATGCGGTTCCAAGGGGAAGGAGAAAACTCTGGGAGCAACATCCCGTGGCCCTCCTACACCACGACCTGATAGTGAAGATGACGATATGTCTACGAATGGGTATGAAAGACTTGTGAGTGAGGCAGCAGGCAGTTGGTGGTGATAGTGATGGTGGCTCGACCCATGTGGCCCAGCAGTGGGCCACGCTACTACCGCTCTGCTGACTCTGAACAACAAACAACCAGCCTCGCCCAACTCCACACCCCACAACCTACACCACACAACATGCACAACCACAACCTGACAACCACAACCTGCACAACCAACAAACAAGTTACAATATCCAGAACCCACCAGCAGACCGCATCTGGGATTGGAGAGAGGGTGTCAGTTTGTTTCCAGTCTTGACTTTGATGAAAACAAAGATGGAATAACGCCATCATGTCCACTTGGGAACAATGCTAGGTGAACTGGAATGCTTTGAGTTTATTCTTCGATGAACCTTGATGGACATCATTGTCAGGGAACAACACATACTATGATACACCATGGCCAAATAAATTCTCTCGCCAAGATCTACGACTTCTCCAGTGGAAGGAGACATCTGTGCAGAAGATGTTAAACCGTTTTGTGCCTAACAATAATGCTTATGCCACATGTGTATAACCTACACTGTTCACCACAATATGGGCTAAAAACAGAACGCCTGACTGATTTCAGCTAAGGTTTTAGTGCATTATAGGTGTCAGTGGTTCTTGGATAATGTTACGTATGTTACACTTTTCAGACAAACCAGGCTGACAGAAAGCGACCGCTTATATAAAGATCAGAAATGTGTGTTTATGATACATTGAAACAAAGTGCTGCATGTATTTTTATTCCCTTCTGAAGCTTGTTATTGACGAGTCTTTGTTTTTGTTCTAAGGAAGACTCTTCATTCAAGCAAATATTATACAAGCAAGAGGAAATGTTTGGTATAAAGTTATTTTAATGTGGATTTGCCGAAGTGGTCTTAGTTTTGGATATCATTGCTGTACACTGGCAGTAATACTTTGCGACGATACCATGAAGTTATTGGGTTATCTCTGGTGATGTGGTGTTAGAACAAAGATGGAAACCATATCTTGGTTAAGAGGCATTGTTAATTACTGTAACTGGTACACAAGGCCACTTACTCAGTGATTTCTTGCGAGTGAACTTGACAGACGTGTGTGGCACAGTGCGTGGTAATCGTAAACATATGCCAAGGTTCGACGCTGGCACTCGCAGAGGTGAGGTGCAAGCCTTTGCTGCCAATGACATCATGGCATTTCGTGGCATGACAAACGTGATGTCACATTGTTGACATCAGTTCACCAAACGAAATGGCACACAGTGGCAGGCACAACAGAGAGACCAATGAACCCATTCTAAAGCCTGCAGCTGTCATGGACTACAACCTCAATATGCGCTTAGTGGACAAATGTGACATGCAGATTGGGTTTTGCAGATGTGTACGCAAGAGTTATAAGTGGTATATAAAACTTTTTTTCCATCTTGTTGATATCTCTATGCTAAATGCTTATAACATATACAAGTTGAAGACCAACAAAACACCAAAATATGGTGAATTTTGTTGTCAGTAATCAGACAAATAATCGCAAAGTACCAAGGAGCAACCCTGCAATAGACCAGCGCCCACGAAATTACCAACACACGCCATCTCGTTTCAGGCCTGGTGATCACTACCCCATACAACTGCCTCCTACTACTGCCAAGAAAAATGCTCAGAAGAGGTGTTATGTATGTACACATACCACAAAACGCCCACAAACACGCAGAGACACTGTTTTATGTGTGAGGAGTGTAAGTGCCCCTCTGCATATACCCATGTTTCAAAGAGTTCCACAAGCTGCAGCAGTTCTTGGAACTTGTTTCGTGACTGTAACATATGTATATATATTATGGAACAATAGTAATAAACATTGTTTTTGTATTGTTTGTTTGTGTAAACAAATTTTATACACAAACTAATAGTGATAAAGTTTGTTCAGTTTATTGTGTGTAAACATGAGTGTTTATTTGAACATAGCACCTTACATTTGTCTCCACAGGCAAATAGTTACTTGGATAAAGAAAAATATTGGAAAATACAAGAAACTTTTGAATTAGAGTAAATAAAAGAATAGCGGGTGGATGGCAGTCGCCGTTGTTACCGTACGCACCTCACTTTCTGCCAACTTTGCGGCTCTATATCTCGGTAAGTACTGATGGCAAAAAATTTTTTTTAGGCTTAAAACACTCAGGAAAATAATCCTAACATTTTCATAAGAAATTTTTTTGTTTTTCGAATATTTTGCGACATAGAATGACAGTTTCAGAAAGGGGCCTGCGACAGTCAAAGGGTTAAAATACGTTTTATTTCTTTGCCATCAGTTATACAGTAAAGCATTTCTGTTTTGTAGCCGTCTCCATTTTTCAACTTCTATGAAATCTAAGCGATTGCTTAATATATTTTCAGGTAGCAAAGAGTTTGCTTGAGATGAGTGTAGGAGACTTGAAAGGTATGGCGTGTAACCCTCGTGGCTCTCATGTTGTCGATGCCATCGTCTTGAGCACCACTCTAGGATCTAAGACACGAAATGAATTTATGGAGAAGTTTAAGGTAGGTGAATAATAACATTGAATTAATTGACTGTTTTGAGATTTATGGTTGAGTTATGACCTTACTAGCTCTTTCTGGAGGGGTTTCTTCATGATTTTGCCCTCTTTTTAGTTTTTCTGCCACTTTGTTTCTAGATCATATCTAGAGAATACATTTTAGCATAGACCTGAGAAAGCTTTTGTGTTGTCTCTGGTAAGAGGAGGACATTAGATCACATTGAACAGTTATTTTCACAAGAAACTCTCTTGATTTTATTCCTTCAAGAATTAAACTAGTACAGTAATTCTAGCTGGAGACGGAATAGACAGAAATAAAGTTAAAAAAAGAACGTAATTGTTCATTTCTTTGTTTCACTTCCACTTTTATTAATATGTTCATGTAATGTGATGAAATGTCAACTATTTCTGTTGTCAATTATTTCTTTTCTTTCTGGTACTGTATCTTCGGTTATTAACCAGTCCTTACCATACAAATGCGAGTCCAACACACATATAACATGAACATACAAAAAATATCACTGCACATGAGAAAAATATGCATGACAAAATGTAAATACAGTGGTCCCTCAATAATCATCCATAATCCGTTCCTGGAAGTGGGACTATTATCGAAATGGACGATTTTCGAATCAATTTTCCCCATAAGAAATAATGTAAATCCAATTAATTCGTTCCAGACACCCAGAAGTATCAACAACAATTTTTTTTTTAACTAAAAGATAGATTTACTTGCACAAAAGAAATGAACATTCAACTGAACAGCAGTTACCCCACACCACCCACCCTTTATTGAAGGCTGTTGTTGTATGAATGGATGACAGCGGACGGAGGCTAGGAGGGAAAGAGAGGTTATTTTGGAAAGGGGAATCCCCTCCATAAAGGACTCTAGGGCACTATTAATAATATATAATATGAACATTGGTAATAGGGGTAGATGATGAGTGGAACGGTAGTTTGCCTGTTGGGTGATCGAAGATAATACATTGGTAGTTTTCAATTTTGGTTGGATAAATACACGAGTGAGAGGGGTTTGGTTTTGAGTCGGACTTGCAACCTGAGCTGATGGATTGCGAGTAAGTCTTTGTTCAGTAAAGTAAAAGGACACATAGTGCAACACTAATGTGACAATAAATGTCTTATTAGTTTGAACTTGTGTCCTGTTTACTTTTACATAGTGTCGGTAATTCTACCGACTTTGAAGATTGAGACACTTATGCAGCATTTTGGGAATCTTTATTCTGGAAACGTTTTGCCACACAGTGGCTTATCAGTCAATACAAAGGAGGAAGGCGTAAGGAGAGAGGAAGGAGTATGAAGGTATTCAGTCCCTCGCCTGGAGTCGATGTGTTCAGTCCATCAATTCTTGTAGGAAATGTACAGCATGGGCGTAGACGTGGCTTATATACTGTAGTGAGGTGAGGATGAAGCTGGCGGAGGCGGGGTCATAGTCGGTACCTTCCAATAGTCGAAGTTGGTCTTCGTCCAAAGGTTGAACAAGTGTTGAATGAATTCTTTGTTCTGTTAGAGGGTTGGATTTTGTGAAAGGACTGGCTGTATGGGCCAACTGGCTTATTGCGGTGTCCTCCTTTCCAATGTTCTAAAAGCTACTGGCTTGGGTAGTTTCAAATTTAGCTGGATAAATACACGAGTGAAAGGGTTGGATTTGAGCTGGCTTGCACCTGAGTTTATGGCTTGGGTAGCATTTGTTCTGTTAGTGGGTTGGATTTGTGAAGGGACCCGGCCTATAGTATGGGCCAGCAGGCCTGTTCCTTGTTCCATTTTCTTAAGTTCTTATTTAACATCACACTTACCAGTAGGGTGATCGAGGCTAGGACCTTGGGTAGCTTTAAGAAGAGATTGGACAAATATACGAGTTGGAGGAGCTGAGTTTGATTTGTGTCGTTGGGTACGGGGAGTAAATTATTGGGTAGCTTTGGGTGGAGGTCATTTTGATAAGGACCTGCCTTGTATGGGCCAGTAGCCCTGCAGGGGTTCTTCCATTGTTATGTTCTTGTTGGCTGTTGTTTGTGTGAAAGGAGGGATGGCAAGTTTATTTTTGGGAAAAATATGACACTAATATCAACTCTATGGCTTATTTATCTATCACAATTCAACTAATATGACATAGTAAACAATATTAATAACAAAGAAACATGGAATATTCTCTAGAATGAATAAAATAAGTCATTACGTATGTCACGAGAGGTGTTGTGTTGTTGTTGGGTATATGAGGGCCACTGAGTGTAAGCCGTCCATAATGGTGGGGAAACATCAGCTGAGGCGGTGGTGGTTTTTGTAGCCCTTTTAATAACTTCCAAAACATGGAGGAGTTGGTAGAATCGCTGAATCACTAAAGAGGGGAACCTTACCCCCAAATCATACTACCTTCTACCACCATCACTACCACCAAAGAAAGCTTCTAGTGCCAGCCCTTTGGTAAAGAATGTGAGAAACATATAATTTATGAAAAAGCTTGTAGAAAAATACAAAGATGGTGGTGGTTTGAGTGGAAGCAGTTGTGATAGTGGTTGAGAAAAATAAGAACATAAGAAAAGGGGGATCACTGCAGCAGGCCTGTTGGCCCATGCTCGGCAGGTCCTTTACATTTTATCCCATAACGAAACATTTTCCCAAACCCCGTCCTCAATGCTACCCAAGAAATAAGCTCTGATAACTCTATCCACTCATTTCGGACTTGCAAAAGAGTGGATAGAGTTATCAGAGCTTATTTTTGGGGTTGCATTGAGGACTGGGTTGGGAAAATGTTTCGTTAGTGGGATTTAATTGTAAAGGACCTGCGAGCATGGGCCAACAGGCCTGCTGCAGTAAACCCCCTTCTTATGTTCATCAACCACTATCAAAACTGCTTCCACTCTACCACCACCATTTTGTATTTTTTCTACAAGCTTTTTAATAAATTATATGTTTCTCACATTCTTTACCAAAGGGCTGGCACTTTGAAGCTTTATTTGGAGCCATTTGGTTTGCTTATTTAGCACTTGCAAGCACTAAAATCAATGGAATATTATGAAATATTTCGTAGGAGCATGTGAGGGGACCGTCACTCACTGGTAAACAATGGCACACTGGCTGGGAAGGAAAGGCCGAGGCGGCTCAGAGCGTGAGTACGCGTCCGGGACGAAGGACTATTAGGACTATTAGCGAGTTACCGGACCATTTGCGAGCCAATATTTTGACGAAAAAACAGGACTATTTCCGAAATGGACGACTTTCAGGCCGGACGATTGTTGAGGGACCACTGTACATTTAGTGCTAAAAATCGGTTCTCCCTGGGGAAGTGGAGAAGAATCCTTCTTCTGTAAGCCATGTGTGTCATAAGGGGCAACTAAAATGCTCCTTTATCAATTAATAAATGTGAAAAGAAGAAAAGCTTTCATTTCTTCTTTTTTGGGTTGGCCTGCCGCAGTCAGAGATGGCCAGATTGGCTAAAAATAAAAGCTATTAAATCTAGTTATTTACTGATCGACTAAACAAACATTAATTCTGCACATATGCTTTAAATTAACTTACTCAAAATGAAAATGCATTTAGTGAAAATATAGCTTGGATAAACTGTTGAAAATAATTTTTGGTTAAACATCTGCAGTGATTATAACTACAGATCAGCCTTCACAAGTCATTAATCAGTTCTAAAAGGCTAGTATTGTAAGTCAAAACATTTCAAGTTGGGGACATACTGCATTTGCTGTTCTATGCATATAGGGTGATTAACCCTTAAACTGTCCAAACATAGATCCACGTGTTTTTTACCTGCTGTCTTATGGAGAAAATCAAGGTCGGAGCTCTACGTGCAAAAACGTAGATATACGTTTGGACAGTTGAAGGGTTAAAGGATTATTGATATTCCTATGTTAATTAAATGTTTTCATCTTTTCCAAGGGACAATACACATCACTTGCATGTTCCAAGCATGGCTCACGAAGTTTGGAAGCATTCTGGAAAGTGGCCAGCATCAAACTCAAGACAAAGATATGTAATGAACTTGTTGTAGATGAACTGAAATTAAAAGGCAATGCATTTGGTATTATAATTTACAATAATTTCCTGGTAAGTTTTGTTGTTATTATGGTTATTACTACTGCTGTATTATTATTATTATTTATTTTATTATTATTATTTTTTTTTTTTTTCAACAAGTCGGCCGTCTCCCACCGAGGCAGGGTGACTCAAAAAAGAAAGAAAATCCCCAAAAAGAAAATACTTTCATCATCATTCAACACTTTCACCACACTCGCACATTATCACTGTTTTTGCAGAGGTGCTCAGAATATAACAGTCTAGAAGCATACACATATAAAGATACACAACATATCCCTCCAAACTGCCAATATCCCAAACCCCTCCTTTAAAGTGCAGGCATTGTACTTCCCATTTCCAGGACTCAAGTCCGACTATATGAAAATATTATTATTATTATTATTATTTAAAAATTCATATGTTTTCTTAACATTAAATTATAGTATGTGTTCAGAACCTGGTGAAAGTAATGGATTGGGAATATATATTTAAAACTTAGAGAGCCCTGGTGATAGACTAGGGGGATGCTGTCCAGGTAGTGACTTCCTGTAGTAACGTCAGCCCCCAGAGTTAGTAATACAGTGGAACCTCAAATATCGAACTTTCTTCGTTCCAGACGGCTGTTTGAGTGCCGTTACCGAACGAATTTATTCCCATCGGGAATAATGTAAATTAGATTAGTTCATTTCAGACCCTCAAAATTACACTTATAAAAGCACTTGCAAAAATACACTTACATAATTGGTCGAGTTAGGAGCAGTTCGATATTTGAGGTTCCACTGTACTACTAATTACAGTGGACCCCCGGTTAACGAACTTTTTTCATTCCAGTAGTATGTTTAGGTGCCAGTACTGACCGAATTTTTTCCCATAAGGAATATTGTGAAGTAGATTAGTCCATTTCAGACCCCCAAACATACACGTACAAACGCACTTACATAAATACACTTACATAATTGGTCGCATTTGGAGGTGATCGTTAAGCGGGGGTCCACTGTATTTCCAAAATGTTCATCGTATTTACAAAATTGGATGACATTAATAATTTGTAAGGTAAGCATCTGGTTGAGCATAACATTTCAGGCAACTTAAAAATAAAACTAGAATCAGTAGGAGAAACACAAGTGAATAAAAATATTGCTGTGTTAATTACAGTACATCACTTGTCTGGAAGATCATAATGGAGAAGAGAACAACAGAATACAAAATTTGACAAGGTTCCCAAGGGTGGTGAAAATCTAGTGAATTTTCTTTTAAGAATATTGAAAGGGAAAGTTTTTCCAAATGGAATAGGAGTTATAAGTAACTGTGTGGAAAGGAGGCATGTAATATATGTAAAGAGAGTAATATGATATTTTTTAAAAAGAATATTATTCTTTTTTTAATAAATCAATAAGTCTGAATTAGAGTAAATGTAAGAGAAGGTAAGCATTTTCCAATTAAAGGGGACCTTAGTCATAGATGTATAATGTTACTGTGTTTATTTAATATGCTTATAAACTGGGTTGCAAAAGAAGTGATTGTTAGTGTTGGGAGAGGTGCAGGCTTTAATTAAAGATATAATGAAGTCTAGTGGTCACAATTGCTTGTTGCTAGTAATGCAATGCTTTTGGGAGTTATCAGTGGATTCTACAAGGGGAATGTATGAAAGTTAATTGATGCTAACACCTTCATATCATTGTCATGTATGGTTTTTAAGTGGTGGAATGAGGAGGTAGGAGGCAGTGGAGATGTGTTGGATATCAGTATGTCTGGTAAATGTTTTGTAGAAAATAAGGAATGAATAAATTAGAAGACAGTATAGTAATATGAAAGGCATAATTCAAGAGAGCAAAAGTGTTATTGAGATGGTTTAGCCATTTAGAAAGAATTAAAAAAGGTAGTTTCATCAAGGGGTCTGTATAATTCTTCTGGGGTGGATGGAAGGTGGTGCAAGGGATTTCTAAAAAAGGATGTGAAACAGGGACTTCAGTATTGAGCAGGCATGGTGAGCATGTTAGACAAGGGTGAAGGGAAACAAGTTGTTATCTCTTATCCCAATATCATAACAATATTTATAGTGAATTGGAGTGATTTACGGGTTTAAATATTTATTTATTGCAATATATTTCTTTGCCTTAAAAACTAGCTATTTGACTTATATTACTGACTCTTGGATGTGAACCATGGTTATTAAATATATTACTAAGATGTTAGAAAATAAAATGGTATTGCATGGAGAGATAACATAGGCAAATCAACAGGTATCCAAGAAATAATGAATTTATCACACTGATAAAAAAATGAGAATATGAGTAAGGTAATTGATGGAAAGAATTAAAAGAAAGAATGTAGAGCAGGATAGCAGATGAACAAGGAGGCTTTAGGAAGGATAAGGGGTGTGTAGACTAAGTGTTTACAGTGAAACATATAGGTGAACAGTATTTAGATATAGGTAAAGAGGTTTTTGTGGCATTTATGGATTTGGGAAAGGCATATGATAGGGTGGATGGGGGGAAGTGTGGCAGATGTTGCAAATGTATGGAATAGGAGGTAGGTTACTGAAACCAGTGAAAAGTCTTTACGAGGATAGTGAGGCTTGGGCTAGAGTATGAAGGAGAGAGGGAGATTATTTCCCAATAAAAAAAAAGATGAGTGATGTCACCATGGATGTTCAGTATATTTATAGATGGGGTTGTAAAAGAAGTGAATGCTCAGGTGTTGGCAAGATAAAGAATCAAACACAAAGTGGGAGTTGTTACAGTTGCTCTTTGCTGATGACACTGTGCTTATGGGAGATTCTGAAGAGTAATTGCAGAGGTTGGTAGATGAAATTAGTAGGGTATGTAAAAGAAGGAAGTTAAAAGTGAATATAGGAAAAAGTAAGGCAATGAGGATAACAAAAAATTTAGATAATGAAAGATTGGATATCAGATTGGCACGAGGGAGTATGGAGGAGGTGAATATGTTCAGATAATTGGGAGTGGACATGTCAGCAGATGGGTCTATGAATGATGAGGTGAATCATAGAATTGATGAGGAGAAAAAGGCGAGTGGTGCACTGAGGAGTCTGTGGAGAGAAAGAAGCAAAGAGGGGAGTGTATGAGAGTATAGGTATACCAATGCTCTTATATGGGTGTGAAGCATGGGTGGTGAATGTTGCAACAAGAAGGCTGGAGGCAGTGGAGATGTCATGTCTAAGGGCAGTGTGGTGTGAATATAATGCAGAGAATCCGTAGTTTGGAAATTAGGAGGAGGTGCTGGGTTACCAAAAGTATTATCCAGAGGGCTGAGGAGGGGATGTTGAGGTGGTTAGGATATGTAGAGAGGATGGAACAAAATAGAATGACCTGTAGAGCGTATAAATCTGTAGTGGAGGGAAGGCGGGGTAGGGGTTGGCCTAGGAAAGGTTGGAGTGAGAGGGTAAAGGAGGTTTTGTGTGCAAAGGGCTTGGACTTCTACCCAGCATGCGTGGGCAATTTTGATAGGAGCGAGTGGAGACAAATGGTTTTTAGGATTTGATGTGCTGTTGGAGTGTGAGCAAGGTAACATTAATGAAAGGATTCAGGGAAACTGGCAGGCCAGACTTGAGTCCTGGAGATGGGAAGTACAGCACCCGCACTCCGAAGGAAGGGTGTTAATGTTGTAGTTTTATAACTGTAGTGTAAGTGCACCTCTGGCAAGACAGTGATGGGGTGATTGATGATGAAAGTTTTTCTTTTTCGAGCCACCCTGCCTTGGTGGGAAATGGCTGATGTGTTAATAAAAATAAAATAAAATTGATGGAAAATTAAGAAGTTTACATTTACACAACTGTTAGGAAATTTGTACTGTACAAAGAGGTTTTGGTAACTTAAGAGTGTTCATTGCCAAGCACTGGGTTTATAAAACTAATGATATATTGAAATATCTATTCTTTTTATTTTTATTATATTATCACACTGGCCGATTCCCACCAAGGCTGGGTGGCCCGAAAAAGAAAAACTTTCACCATCATTCACTCCATCACTGTCTTGCCAGAAGGATGCTTTACACTACAGTTTTTAAACTGCAACATTAACACCCCTCCTTCAGAGTGCAGGCACTGTACTTCCCATCTCCAGGACTCAAGTCCGGCCTGCCGGTTTCCCTGAATCCCTTCATAAATGTTACTTTGCTCACACTCCAACAGCACGTCAAGTATTAAAAACCATTTGTCTCCATTCACTCCTATCAAACACACTCATGCATGCCTGCTGGAAATCCAAGCCCCTCGCACACAAAACCTCCTTTACCCCCTCCCTCCAACCTTTCCTAGGCCGACCCCTACCCCGCCTTCCTTCCACTACAGACTGATACACTCTTGAAGTCATTCTGTTTCGCTCCATTCTCTCTACATGTCTGAACCACCTCAACAACCCTTCCTCAGCCCTCTGGACAACAGTTTTGGTAATCCCGCGTCTCCTCCTAACTTCCAAACTACGAATTCTCTGCATTATATTCACACCACACATTGCCCTCAGACATGACATCTCCACTGCCTCCAGCCTTCTCCTCGCTGCAACATTCATCACCCACGCTTCACACCCATATAAGAGCGTTGGTAAAACTATACTCTCATACATTCCCCTCTTTGCCTCCAAGGACAAAGTTCTTTGTCTCCACAGACTCCTAAGTGCACCACTCACTCTTTTTCCCTCATCAATTCTATGATTCACCTCATCTTTCATAGACCCATCCGCTGACACGTCCACTCCCAAATATCTGAATACGTTCACCTCCTCCATACTCTCTCCCTCCAATCTGATATTCAATCTTTCATCACCTAATCTTTTTGTTATCCTCATAACCTTACTCTTTCCTGTATTCACCTTTAATTTTCTTCTTTTGCACACCCTACCAAATTCATCCACCAATCTCTGCAACTTCTCTTCAGAATCTCCCAAGAGCACAGTGTCATCAGCAAAGAGCAGCTGTGACAACTCCACTTTGTATGTGATTCTTTATCTTTTAACTCCACGCCTCTTGCCAAGACCCTCGCATTTACTTCTCTTACAACCCCATCTATAAAT